AGAGAGAGAGAGAGAGAGAGAGAGAGAGAGAGAAAGAGCGAGAGAAAGAGCTTAAAACGGCTCAACCATGTGCCTCATGCTATTATGGTCATAATCATAGACTAATTCAACACTAATACTAACAACAAACACGGGAGTGAGGTGAGGGGTTTGGCGGTGTAGGGAGCTGGTTTTGGAGGGGGAGGGGGGTATTGAAATTCAAGTTCGGCTGTACTAACAGGGACGCTCATTATAATATAACCCATTGTCACTGTAGACGTTTAACGCCCTAAACAACACTTCCTACATCATTTGGAAGGCGGGCTATTTCGACAAAGTGCATCAGTCCAGCGCGGACTGAGAGGGATGTAACATCCCAGCAGAAAAAGAACTACTGTAATACTCGATAAAAATTATCCTTACTCTGGAATTGAACTCCTGTTTTCCTCATGTGATGGTGAAGTGGCTAACCACTACGCCATAGAGAACGGTGGACCTTGGTTTGAATCCCTCTTGGAACGTGATGAACGTCGATTGTTTTAGTTGTAGTAAGAAGAGTTTTGCGGCACTTGCAACACAATAGGTTGTATAAGTACCTAAGATTGGAGGTGTTACAAGAGAGTGACAAGCACGAAAAAGAAGGAGGGGGAATAAGGATAATATTTGTTGGATAGGAAATAAGGGGCAAACACACCAGTGCACCAACCAACCACCCACTTAGATTGTAGAGGGAGCTTTATTCTCACGTCTCTCCGACTCTCCCTGGTTCAGCTCTATTAGAGGGGGCTCTCGTGGCCTAGAGGTTAAGGTGTTGGCCTCTCATTCAAAGGTCCCGGGTTCGAATCCGGGTAGCGACCGAAAAAATTTCTTCTCTAAAATTGTCTCCTTTCACCTCCTTTCCTGCTCTCTAGCAATGTTCTGTTGTCTGCTTTCATTTCCACTTTCTGCCCCCACCCCCTCACCTCTGCAGCTTTTCTACTGCTACTCCTTGGCTCCTCCTTACTGCTGTCTTTCTGCCACACCCCTGATCTTCTGGTAGGAAAGATGGACAAGGGCCAAAAATCTCGGAGGGCCCGTGTGCAAGTTGCGCACGTTAAAGATCCCTTGGTGGTCTAAAATCGATAAGAGTAGGCTTTGGCCGCCACCCGGGCAAAATTCAAAATTTTCTACCAACTGAAAATATTAGGAGTGTCCCGCGCGCTCATATGACCTATGCAGTTGCGAGCGTCGTAAAACACTTTACAAAAAAAAAAAAAGCTCTATTAGAGGTTGATTGTAGAATCCGATTTTCTGCCTCTTATATTAAATAACAGTTCTGTATTGAAAGAAGGATTGAACCCATGCCATACGGTGTAAATTAGGGTAACCAAGTCCACCGACTGGGGTAGACTCCGATTTAGCATGTCAATTAAGAGAATAATATAATATAATTATTATTCAGTTTGTGAGCCTCGTTTGTATCAGGACCAAACCGGTTGTTTTATTTTATTCAGTTTTTCCTTCCTTGTTAGTTTTTATCGCTTTAAATGTTGTTTATCTGTCCGAGATTTATGAAAGGCACGAATGCCCCTTTACTCCAAACCTGTACCATTAATTCTCGACTCTCGGGCTTGGCTAGCAGTGAAGGAGTTAATCAATAGTTAATTTGGAACTTATTAATCAACAAGTTAGTTAAGTGATTTTATATATATTTTTTTCATTTTTTTTTTTTTAAATTTAATTTATCTACATATGATTTATGTATTTATCTATCTCTCTGTTGTGCAATTATAAATCTAAGGTGTGTAGTGTGTTCCTCTGACTGAGGTGATGGTGTGTACTGTATGCCTCATTAAGAATGAAAGGAACGTAAAAACTACACTGAGATTCACCTAGTGGAGTCGTGGGACATCTGTCACCTGATTTTCGTTGTAAAATGGTTTGTTTACCGGAAGTACAGCCAGGTGTTTCTCGGCGCCATTTAGTTTTAAAATCTGAGAAGCTCACTGCTGGGACCACAGGTCGTTTACTACAAGAATGTTCACTCACGCACAAGACAGAAAGTGAGCGGGTGGGTGGAGGGCGCCACTGGTAGATCCTGCTTCTTCCCTCTCCATCTGTTGTTTCTGTCTATCTGCCGTCCTTCTTCCAAGCTCCATATGACCGTTATTTGTCCATGTGCTTCTCTTTACTCAAACTCAAAAGGAAAGTGTCCCCGAATATACATAATGTTCAATTACATAGATTAGATGTCGCGAACGTTATAGCAAAAATCGATGGCTGCTTACCATAAGTGGGTAAGTCCACGAGGGGCGATTTTCACTTTTTTACTTTTTCTTAGCAAACTTTTTACGCTCTACAACCTCAAAAGTGACTAAGTCCTTCCTCTATTATAAATGCAAGAAACAGAGACCTTGTCAAATGATTAAGTCCAGAAAGCCCCATAGGTTTACAGCCAAAACTGAACTTTTGAAATATTCTGTCACCTGATTTTTGTTTTGGAATGGTTTGTCTACCGGAAGTACAGACAGGTGTTCTCAGCGCCATTTACTTTTTTTTCTTTTTTTTATAATTATTAATCTGAGAAGTTCACCGCTGGGACCACAGGTCGTTTACTAGAGAATGTTCACTCACGCACAAGACAGAAAGTGGGCGGGTGGTTGGAGGACGCCACTAGTAGATCCTACTTCTTCCCCTTGTCTCTGTTGTTTCTGTCTATCTGCCGGCCGTCCTTCTTCCAGGCTCCATATGACCGTTATTTGTCCATGTGCTTCTCTTTACTCAAACTTAAAAGGAAAGTGTCCCCGAAAATACATGTTCAATTACATAGATTAAATATCGTCAACGTAATTGAAAAAAGTGTGCGCTCGTATGACCTTACGCAGTTGCGAGCGCCGTAAAACCCTATACTACTAACTAACTAAGAAAAATTGTGAGATTGTACAGCTGAAACGCCTCTTGCAACATTTTTTAAAAAAGAAATGGGACCTCCGAATGTAACCTCCATTGATGATAGAACGGAGCCGAGTGGGAAACTGCGTGTACAGTGCCTTTCCCAAGGACACAGCATTAGACTTGGCTAAGACTCAAAATCCCGGAACCCGTAGTAATCTCACGATTACGAGTCCGTTAGCTAACCATGAAACCACCAACACCACCCACATTCTTACAATTAAGAGTCCGTTAGCCAAATCATGATAACACAAACGCCTCATCCATTGGTAGGCCCACAGATGAAGCTGTTTTGTTTCGTTTCTCAAAAAAGATCTTTCAAAACAATACCCTTGTACAGTGTACAAGTTCATAATCAGAGTAATCTTTGCTCTTGCCGTAGACATGTAATCCTTGACCTCGCACTATCATGGCCGCCACTCTTCGCTCTCTATAAAAAGTTACCTGCTGATGCTTACACTGTGAGTGGAGCCATTACGTCATCACACCCATCTTAACGGCAGAGGTGTTTCGTTTCTAGGGAGACAATCGAACTTTTACAACAACTGTTGTTGTCTCGAACCATTATAGCTTCAGCCTCGCTATAGTCGAGTGCCTGCCCCCCCCCC